GTTAATGCCACCGGCACAAACCTTTGTTATGTAAGCTTGCAGACTGGGATCGCCACATAAAATTAGACTTTACACACAGTTAATCTTTAAAAGTATCTACATGTGAACATTTTTAATAAGATGTGAGGCTAAGCTGTACACCTAAGCTCAGTTTGTAAAAAAATATTAATTTGACTCTAGAATATCCCACTAGTTTCTTATTTTCAGTAGCAAAGTTCGTAAGATTACACAGTTCGGTAGAAATACTTCATCTAATAATGCCTAGGCGAATAGAAATGGTTATGTCTATGTCCATTGTTAATTATCGATGCAAAAAATCGGTAATCATTCCCATAGTAGTTAACCATATCAAATTCGCACGTCATTATACACAATATAATAACATTGTTGTGAATGATTTACCAAAATGAGCTTAGCAAACCATACTTGTAATGTCGATCAGTGTCATACCTGAGTACAAATAACGAAATTTAATGGGACATAGTTGAATCTATCAGGAAAATATCACGTAACATGAATGAAGATTTACATTGTGAATTCCATCAACACTGAATAGTTGTCACACCTAAGTTTGAAACTGTTCACACGCAACGACATCCACAATTCCTCATGAGGTTGAACCAGAGACATTTTAGTGTAAAGAGTGATGGAAGATGAGTACAATATTTTACTGATAGCGCTGATCTAATAAAATTCATGTTTTAGAAATCTAGTACACACAAACCTTAGTATGATCGCCACGTACACTCTATGATAGTCTAGTAATATAAATACAGAAAAAAGGGAAATATGCCATTATGACAAAAGAAAAATGTCAACTTGTTTGAAAGGAAATCATCAGTTTGAAAAAAACCTAAAAAATAAAATAAAAGTTATAAAAATGATTACTCTTTCCAGTTTAAAACGAGTAATAGTCAAAAGTCTAAACATGTAAATGTTGTATATCGATTTCCTTCGACTGTACACTTGTATTTCGTTATGTCACCAATGTTATCTAAATGAAAACAGATACAATTCATTTGGGTTTTTATCACAACTCATTACATAGAACATAAATAGTTAAAATGTGTTAATGTCAACCACATTTTAAACTCCATAGACATACGTACATTATAGACTATCTAATTCAGCACACAAAATATACATTAACCTGATGACTGCATTTTTGTAGCGCATTTTTAAAGAATAAAAAATTCAATATCATTGTGGTATAAATCATGTTAGTGTAACTCAATACAATTCCTTGGGATTCTACATAGAATGACTTAAAACATGAAAAAATATTCATTTTTGTAGGACAGAAAAAAAATCTAAAAACTAAACCGCGAAATCCTTTGATCAATTTATATATTCATTAAATGATAAATCCAAAGGAAACTACAAACAGAAACAAGGTGAACTAATAAGAAAATGCGTAGCTCACATTATACAACGATATGGTGTAATTTTATGGCACGGATAACAGACTAGTTATCATTAATCTGATACTCAAGTCTACTGAGTTTACAGTCATCAAGACTAACGATTCGGTGTACAAATTATTTAAAATCTATGTCATACAACGAAGTCAGTGATAGGTAACTGCTGTATTGTACTACTATTCTTATTCAGACATATTGGAATACGACCAAAATACTGAATAATAATTCATATTTTTACATACAACGTTCAAATTACAATCCAAAGAAATATAGTCATTCATAGAGTATAAGTTTATCTCATACAAAATAATAACAGAATCGGTTTATAATTCCCTTCAATCAACTCTGACGTGAATAACCAAGTTTTGGAACTGAATCATTCAAAAATAAAATGAGACGGATTTCGATTACTTGAATACAAAATAAAAGCTTCCGTTTTACGACAGTGTTATTGATAAGAATGAATTGTATAAATACTAAAGTGTATATTTCAAATAGAAATAATTTGAATTGAATTCAGTTAACCTTATGATTGATATTTATGGAAAAACGTATAATCTAGAATTGAAAGCAGACATCAAAAGGATGAACAGCAGATGGAAACGACTGAGAAGGATTGTCTACGACATAGTTCGATGGACAATGATGGCGGGCGACCTATGCTCCTCAACAAGGGGTAACAGGCGTAGGTAAATGAGCATAGCCTAACAAAAAGCAATATATTCAAAACGGCAAAGATATCTGCGCAACTCGATTTCATCTCTCTATGAATCATGATCAGAGATTAGAAATCAAAAAGCGAAATCGAACTAAAGAGAAACTATAATGATAATGGACATGATAAAGAAAGAAACTGGATAAAGGAATGTAAATCATAGTTAAGACAGTGAATAAAAAGTCCGAATCATATTTACATGGTTTCACAGTAGATAATATTCTGTTGATTAGTTTAAATGCTACTGTCATTACTAGTCTAAGTGACAGCGGTGAAATTTAAGAGATATAATGGGGCTTAAGCCCATTAGTAGGGTTTCCTGCTGATGCTAATGTTACATTGTAACCCATAATATAATTGATTCTCATGATGAGTTCCAATCGAGCTGAAACATCGGAATTTACTAAAATATTTATTCAGTTGACAATAAAAAAGCTGGTTAACATCTGTCACTGAGGAAAGTTCTATTCAGTTATCGATCGAGGGAATTTAGTAGGTTTTTATGAAAAATAATGGAATTTCCATAATTTTCTTAGTGGTAGAAAAAGGAAAAGCAATTAAAACTTTCATAAAAACATTTAATTCATTTAATCCCCTATCTCGTTACATTTCTATATGTGGTTTTCTCACCGTATTCAATAAATAGAACTAATTTCAATTATTCCAAATGCGTTAATCGAGTTTTCCTTATGAGTAAAATGTCTTATTCTTACTATAATGATTAACATTGAAGTTTATTCGTAAAGACAAAAACAATTAAACATCTCTCATATCACAATAGTCGAACAACAAATGAATACTTGTATCGCACAGGATTAAAGTATTCAACAAAATAACGAACCCTCTTCGAAATACTCAAATTGAAATAAACGATAAAATCCCTAATACTTTGATATAGAAGTGTGCCTATAGACTGGGAAGTGCAGACTGTGATTCATTCTATATTGAAGAGTCTTCTTGTGAAGTCATGACTTGTGCCAAAAAACGTCTGAACTACACAAAAAGTCCTCCAAATAATCCTGCACTAATAGAAAGTCTGCAAATCAAAATGATAATACCAGTACAACGATCAAATAAATACTAATAGTATCGAAATAATCCTAAAAAGATTTTTCACTTATAAAGAAAGGCGACAGAATGAATTCTTTCATATTTCCACAAACACCACTGCGCTTAACAGAAAGAAAGGCCTAAGGATCTATTTATTAAAATATCTACACAATTAGTCCTGTCCACATCTCACAATATCAGGAAACATATCAATTCTCCTAACCGAACACTTCCATATTACAAATATCACAATTCTTATACCTACCAACATACGCACAATTACAAACAGTTATGTGTCACACAGTAAAAATAACTGTGACCGAAATGTCACAACAATATTAACCTGATCAGACCTATTTTAATTTTTACTATGCTAAAAATATTTTGCTTTGTGTCCTTTGTACTATTTAAATTTGTGTGAATTTAATTTGATGTTAATTTCACTTTCCTGATGAGGCGGTTTAAACCAAGTTACGAAACACCAGAAATCTAATTTCCTACTCATTGGGACTTTACAAATATATTATTATCTTTCGTGAAATTAATAGATAATAATAGTGTATGATAGAAAGCATAATTTATGATAAAACTCAAAGCAATATCATAAAGAATATTCAAAATCAAATTATATGAGGACAGGAAACGTAATACTAGTCGATACATTAGATTTCATAATGTTCACTTTTTCCAGAAAACAAGACGAACATATATTTATGTTTGGGTGTGTATATACGAAAAAAAATTAATATAATTAAAGGGTGTCAAAAACTTCTGAAGAAATAATATATTTGTTTCACTTTGACTTTCTTTCTCTCTCTCTCTCTCACACACACACACATTGTTTACTGACCAAATTTTTACGATTACAAATGTGGAAACGATTATTTGGCAACAAAAATCAAACAATATTCGGTTAGATTCTTCCCTTGAAATGTGATACATAAAAACAAGAGTATCATATTTAGTACTAAAATGAGCTGTTCAGTATTATTAGAACACAATATATCCCGTTTGAATACTCGCTAATATTTCATTAAAACATATATAATGCCATTACGGACTATTCCCAACATTAAAACATAATATCCATCGTACAAAAACATAAAATTCGGATAATGTTTTTGTCAAGTTACGTAAGACATATGGATCAATCAAAGTTGGGTATTGCAAAGAACAAAACAACTCTATAGCTATTTCGTGGAACCAGTATTAGTGAATGTAAAGACTGATCTTATCTATCTATCCTTACACTTTTGTGAACCTACTATTGAGTTACACAGGGTGGCAACTCGAAGTATTCGGCAGTTCACGTACATACATCAACAAATAAAGCCTTAAAGCCTCACAAACCGGTGCAGTAGTGAAGTGGTTAATGTTTTCATCTCTATAATTTTTACACTATTAACAGACAAATTTAGTATTTGAACAAATCCCAAAGATTCAATTTCATAAACTCTAATTAATAAAGCTAAATTGCACAAAGAGGATTAATAATCCCTGAAAGCTTGACGATTGAATTTACTTTATGTAAGAAAATATAGATATTTAAGCCTTCAATATTTATAAAAAATAAAAGCGAGTGGAATAATTTGAGGACAATTAGATCATTCGTTTTATCTTAAGACTTTTCAAATCGACAAACGAATGTTCTTTCTTTAAAAAAACCAAACGAATACATAAATGTTCACCAGATTTTAGTAGGTTTCACAAATTTTTCGAAATTAATCAGTCGATCAAACAATAACAGTGAACTAAAAAACCCAACAACAAGAAAACACAACATAACAGATGACTAACAATAAAAACAGACTTACCGGTCATCTCTTCCTAGGTTACGATTAGATATAAAAAGTATTTCCTTTAAAAGTTCGTTTTGTAGTGCCTCTGGGCCGAATTTCCTATTTTGAAAAAAGCATGATCAGTAAAATAAATTTATATGAGTGAATAAACATAGTTTACTTCATAGTTAACAGAATTCACACAACATCAAAATTCTTTTTAAAATGTGGTACATAATTATTCTCAATCAATACCGTTTGAATAAAGGGTTAAAAGGACTACGAAGATTACCTGGATATTTCATTCGACTTCATAGTATCTCGAAAAAAATTGACCCATTATTCTCATGAAATTTATAACCATCAATAAAGTTGGCACATCTAAAGTGTTTTAAAAAATATCTCACTGTAGAGACAGATGATGTCTTTCAATAAATCCGGTTCTAACGACTACCATTACCATTAATTCAATCACTTTTTTTGGTTTTGATATATACCAAAATTAAGTTTATTTTCACTACTAACTTGATTAGCTTCATTCATAATACCTAGACTAAACGTTTTAACAAATCTTCTAACTAAAATAAACTATAACTTAAAATGGTACAGTGTGTTTGAAGACCTGAGCGTTTCGAACACAGAAATGGACTATTAAAATATTTTAAATTCTCGATTGCAGTTTAACAAACTTCGAATAATTTCATTTTGATGAGAAAATCAAAGGAGAAAAGAATAACTGTAGTGGATCGACCCTGTTTTATTCTTTGGAAATCTCTAAATTAATAGAGTTTGCGAAAACAAAATTAAATACCCCATTTAAAGAAACTTGTTGTTATCCATAAAAAAGCAGAAAACCGTAACTCAAATTAACTTCGATACAGAAAGATCAATATTTTTTTAACAACGTAAACGAAAATCATTTTCAACAAAAGAAAATTTAAAATGTTAATTTTAAACCAACAACAATTGAAATTAGACCATTGAAAGGTAAATTGATGAAGAAAGTGATCAACTGAATGAAAAAATATATATAAATATGTATGTATATGACCACTTCACATAACTGAAGCCATCAGAATCAACTTTAGAAAACCTAACTTATGTATTCAACCTTTGTAATTACCTTGATCCAGGATTGAATTACGATATATGTAAATTGGACATTGTAAATCACCTCAACCCCTTCCCGATTTCCGTTTATATATCCCCTGCTCCGTTTTTATATTAAACGCTCGTCTTTCCCAATCCATGTGAATTTCTTAATCATAACATCTATCTTATGATAGATTATATTCACACGGTGTTATTATCACCAGTATATCCATCAAGTAGACAAAATTATCCTACTATGCATTTTATTTACAGGATTTACTTTATTATAATAATGGTTATAACTTGACACCCTACAACCTTCGAAAATGTTTCTAATGCACAGATGACACAATTCTGAAGTATCTACGACGTAACAGATGCAAAGGTTTATTACTTCTTAGCACACAATATTGTCTAATTCAGTGGAATGACTTAATTTGGCCTTTGTAACACAATAGTTATGGATTCATAACAACAGTCTGATGACGAAGTTATGGAAAACAAATATTTTTTTGTTTCTGAATATTCTATGAGAATTTCAAACCGCCGAAAATGAAAAAGTGTGGTAAAAAAGCAACATTAGGTTGTCTGACATCGTCAAGCGTCATCAAACTTTAAAATAAGTAACTTCATCCTAGCAACTGACTATGATCCGCATTTCAACTTTAAGAATGAACCAAATCATCAATGAAGTAGTTGCAGACCAATGACAGTGGATGGTGGTCACCGTTATACCTGACTTGGATTATGGTTCAGTGTGTTACCTGCGGAACCTGTAGATGTTACATGAAATTAGGATGAAACGGAAAACTAGGACTCTCTGACTATCAGTAATTCCTTGGATTATTTCGTTTTGTGTTGAAAAGGTCTGGAACTACAAAACTAGATATACGTAAAGAGGGCAGTCGGACCGACTATCTAGATGTAATAAAAAATGAATAATAACCATATGTCATTTTACAGCTGTTAAGCATCTTAAATATGACGGTACTATATAAAGTCAATAAAGTATAGAAAAATGAGTATCAAATAAGAATGGAATATTAGTGTATACAAAACGAACTAATATTGTATAATAAGAAATGAATAATAGAAAATAATAAATTATTCTGATGTTGGTGTTTAGAATCAAATTTTGACCAGTCTTTGTTGCTATATGTGCATTACCTTTATATACAGTCATACAGTCAGCTGATGAATCATAAATGTCCCAAAACGCAAGTCTTGAATTCTATAGCTACAATCTATTTGTTATAATAAGCGATAATACGTTATTACTTAAAACCATTCCATCGGATTTCTTACCATATCAAGGTAATATTTTGATCACCATATGGAAACAACTGCAAGGTTAAGTACTTAATAGTTCTTCTATCTTCAGTTATCAAACACTTCGACAGCTGCAAAAACGATGAAAAAAATAATCACATAGCAAACTTACCCACTAAAACACACACACACAAGAAAATGAACTAATGAGACTGAAATAACCAAGGAAAATTTGAATAAGTAATCCACCAAACTGTGTACTGATATAGTCATATTGAAAATTTATTCTGAAGTTATTATTACTTTCTATTTTAAATGTGATAGATAATTAACATTTGCTCCCTTTGTTTTAAATCCCATTTTTAACTTGATTGATTGATAAATAAAGTTGTGATAGTGATTTTATATTAAATAAGATGATTTGTTTTTTCCTTTTTTAATTGTAAACAAGTTACAATTTTGATTGAGTTGTTAAAAAAAGCAAGTTAGTTATGTATGTTTTTCATGCTAGTGTTTTTGTTTTAAAAGATAATGATTTCATACGTATTATGAAAAGTTATCTGTACATTCTCATGGTGTACAAGTTATTAGTTATACTAAACACTATGGCATCCCATTTCAAAGTTACTTAAAATCTGAATTAAAATATGTAATTACTAAAGTGTAAACATCTTGTACGAAACTATTAAGAAAATTTCGTTTCCCAGTGATGAGCTGTAGTCAACAAAAAAATATTATACACTCACAAAACTAACAGTAAACATTTTTTGCACGATTATGAGAATTGATAAAGATGAATGTCCAACTAAGAATGCTTCAAAGAAAGAGAGCAGGACGATGATAAACATAAATAAATTTTTAGAAAGGGAATGAGTCAATAATATACAACTTGTGTAGTTATACATCAGAATAAACGAAGAGGTAAATTACACTTTGGTTTCACCGACTATCTAAACAGTTGAAAAAAATAAACCAGAAATGTTCATCAAACCAAAGAAGAAACTCAAAACTACTCCACCTTAAATTCTTGTCTTTACTCCTTAATTCCTTAAGCTGAAATAATAATCAAGTGTTATTAATTATTCAAAATATATAATGAAATAAAATAATGAAGATAATGGTAATAAATAATTCCAATAATAAGGGAACATTATTTCAAACTTTTTATAATGATGACAATGATTAGTATTGTCATTTGCTTTTCAGATAAAATGTGACATGTTGGCAAACCTCCACCTTCAAAATATCTGTGCATTTGTCAGTTACAAAGAAAGTTAGGGGCGGTCAAACCAAAGTCAGTCAGTCAGTCAGCTACAACGTAGGACCAGGCACATATGTGCATCGGTCCAGGTTGCCATACCTCATTAGCACAGCAAGATGAACAGCGGATTCATAGGAGTGGTTAGGTCAAAGGTTGCAATAAGGATATAGTATAGGAAGAAAGAATTAGTTCGTAGACAGAAAGAATGAAGTGATTTTAGTCTCTAAGTTTAAGGGAAGACAGGGAGTGTATACACCTACGCCATTGTGATCGATTCTGAGCCATGTCACCCAGAGTCTCCAATCATTGGTTATGATAGTCACGCGGACCTCAACCAAGTAGTCTGCATCTACCAACATGGCTCAGACTAGAAGTTAGTGACTTCAAGCACTGATGTCACGTTTTGGTTTGACCGTCCCTAACTTTCTTTCAACCAACCCCAACACCGGTTAGCATTGCACGTCGTGGTAGTCGGTGTTCAGGCATACGTAACACGTGGCCCAACCATCTCAGTCGATGAAGATTCATAACCTCATCAACTGATTTACCATCATTCCCTAATACCCTGCGTCTAACCTCACTATTACTTACCCGGTGATCCCAGCAGATGCCAGCAATATTTCTAAGGCATCTGTGGTCAAATACTAGTAACTTACGGGTGTCTTCTACTCTTAAGGGCCATGTTTCGCTACCGTAAATTAAAACAGAACGAACTGCCGCGCAGTATACTCGTCCTTTTATTGATAGACGGATATCTCGCCTTCGCCAAAGATGACGTAAGTTGGCAAAAGCCAAACGAGCTTTTCGAATCCGTGCTGAGATTTCGTCAGACACCAACCCAAACCAAAACGTGACGTCAGTCCATGAAGTCACCAACTTCTAGTCTTAGCCATCTTGGTAGATGCAGACTATTTGATTAGGGTCCACGCGACTGTCATAACCAATGGTTGGAGACTCTGGGTGACATGGCTCAGAATCGGTCACAATGGCGTAGGTGTATACAATATTCGTCTTCCCCTAAACCGTGAAATTAAAATTGCTTTATACGTTTCTTTCTACCACCTAATTCTTTCTTCCTGTATTATATCCTTTTATTCAATCTGTTATATATTACTACCATTGGAGTAACTACTTCTATGAATTTAGTGATAATCTTGTCGTGCTAATAAGGTGTGGCAACTTGGACAGATGCATATATGTGCCTGGTCCTACATTGTAGCTGACTGACTGGATGAATGAAAAAGCCTATTCATATACTCTTCAATCCTGTGTCTTTTTTTCTGTGAAGAATACGTTAACGCATGAGTATACATATTTTTGAACAGTAATTACCGGGTATTTTACTTTTTGATTACAGAAAGTGTTATGTCAGTTCAGTGATTTTGTAGAACTAAAAGGCACCATTAATCGCCATTAGTGTTTTCAACGGTGATTGCATATATTTAACACATATTTCTGAAGGTCAATTTTAAGTTACATTATGCAATTGGACGAACGT